TTGATCTTGTACCTTTTTGGGTTGACACGGTCCACCTTAAAATCGACCGAGTTGAGCATGTGGAATTTTTTTATGGCTCTGATGAATTCCTCTATGTTACGAAACTTGTCCTTCTCTTTTAAGTTTTCATCCGACTGCATATACGAATTGAAAAATAAATCAGAAGATGGTTCATATCCGCCCATGTTGAAGTTTGTCATGTGCGGAGGTGGTGTGTAGATCTCGTTCGCAGGAATACCAGGTATCCCATCGTCTTCGGAATCATCATTCACCATTTCATCAAACTCTAACTCGTCATCTTCTTCTTCTTCATCAACTGCATCTACCTCAGCTTGTTCGGTCTCCAAAGGATCAACCACTTGTGTCACCTGAGGCTCTCGCATCATAATGTACAACTCAATAGAGTCGTACCCAGAATACACATGACTAGAAAACATATTCTGAAGATCCTCGTCATCTTGAACCTCAACCTTATAAAATATTATTTGGTTGTTACCAAAAAAAACTGGATTCTAATAAAATATTTGTGTCACTGGGCCTCGTCCAAGTTTGGCCTCCAATCGTTTTTTGAAGTAGGAGAAATTGGCTTTCCCTTTTAAAATAAATCAGATGTTTTCTGTGTCTCTAAACAAAAACCCAGAGGTGGGACAAATGTATGTCTCACCGTTGAAATGTGCATTGATGACATATTGGGGTGCAGAGACCATTGCGTATGGTTGTTTGAAGGTTTGAAGGTTTGAAGGTTGGAATGTTTAAAGTTTGTGAGTTATTCGAAGGTTTGTTAGTTTGATTGTTTCAAGGTTTGAAGGTTTGATTGTATGAAGGTTTGAAGGTTGGAAGGTTTGACAGATTAAGTGAATCAGTGTTTTGATAAATATAAGACTAAATAGGTCATACTGAATTTGAATTAAGTAAGGCTGTAACCTCCAAGGTTGCCACCTAGCCTGCGCCTACTCTGCACCTACACTGTAACATGTAAGTCTCCTCCCATCACCTCCAATAGTGTTACATGCATTCAGGCATGGCTTCTCCAAGGCTGTCACGTAGCCTGTGCCTACTCTGCAACCCGTGCCACCTATTATTCGCCAATGGGGATGGCGACACCTTTCATTTTTGTACTCTTTCTCCAAGTTCAATGGCGCCTCCCTTAATGTCCAATCGTGTTACATGCATGCATACATGTAACCTCCAAGGCTGCCACCTAGCTTGCGCCTACTCTGCACCTACACTGTAACATGTAAGTCTCCTCCCATCACCTCCAATAGTGTTACATGCATTCAGGCATGGCTTCTCCAAGGCTGTCATGTAGCATGCGCCTACTCTGCAACCCGTGCCACCTATTATTCGCCAATGGGGATGGCGACACCTTTCATTTTTGTACTCTTTCGCCAAGTCCAATGGCGCCTCCCTTAATGTCCAATCGTGTTACATGCATGCAGACATGTAACCTCCAAGGCTGCCACCTAGCCTGCGCCTACTCTACACCTACACTGTAACATATAAGTCTCCTCCCATCACCTCCAATAGTGTTACATGCATTCAGGCATGGCTTCTCCAAGGCTGTCACGTAGCCTGCGCCTACCCTGCAACCCGTGCCACCTATTATTCGCCAATGGGGATGGCGACACCTTTCATTTTTGTACTCTTTCTCCAAGTCCAATGGCGCCTCCCTTAATGTCCAATCTTGTTACATGCATGCAGACATGTAACCTCCAAGGCTGCCACCTAGCCTGCGCTTTCACTGCAAGATTGACACTTATCATGCATGCATACACCAGCTAACACCTAACTTACTATGAATTTTTTTTGCCTATAAATACAGTCCATAACATACTTCTCTTGCACCCACAATCGTCTCACTCTCTGCTACAAATTCTTTCATAATCTCTTACAATTTCTAAGTCTTTCATAATCTCAGGAATTTTCAACAATGGCTCTTCTCACAATGGGGGATTCTCACAGAGGCACAAGGGACAACATTGCAGCATTTGTAAGTTTCTTTTATAGTTATACATTTTTTATACTTCTGGTAATACTTTGTTCATATTACTTAATCTTACACCTTTACATTATTAACTCAGGATACCAAAAGATTCAGAATCCTGTCTCACAACTACCTAGCTCCCGACCCATTCATCGTACCATATCTGGAATACGCAGGTTTCAGACATGTTTTAAAGATCTCCAACTGCACAATAGATTCAAAGTTCATACTTGCCATGTTGGAAAGGTGGAGACCAGAGACCCATACATTTCACCTACCAATAGGTGAATGTACCGTCACGCTAGAGGATGTGTACATGTTACTGGGTCTCCCTGTTGATGGTAAGGCCGTTAACGGGTCGGTTCAACAACCCAATTCTCTGTGTGAAGAATTGTTGGGCAGGGATATGGTTAAAGGTGGTGGTGCGAGAGGTCAGGGTATACTACTAACTGAGCATAAAAATCATTATGCAACTTTGGAATTAAACGAAAATTCTTCCGAGCAAGACAGGGTAATAAAAGCTAGAACTTATCTAATGATACTATTTGGAACCTTTTTATTTCCCGAAAGTACGGGAAATAGTGTAAATTTTATGTATTTAAATTTACTTAGAGATTTCGAAAAAACTAGAAAGTATAGTTGGGGTTCTGCTGTTTTAGCCACCTATACAGTTCCTTGTGCAAAAATGCAATCAAGGAAAAATGTACATTTTATGGCTGCGTTTTTCTACTTCAAGCCTGGGGTTGGTGGAGGATGGAGTCCCTAAACCCCGTCAACAACAACACATTCGTTTTCCCGTACGCAACAAAGTAAGTCATCTAGTTATATCATTTATTACTGTTCATCTCTTCACCAACTATATGTTAAAAATAAAATATTTTTCATTTCCTTTAGGTATTGCGTGAGGGGTATGGATTACGGAAAGAATCCAAGATTCAATGTCACACTATACCGCAATCTATTGAATCACCTAGGCCCGGATGATGTACGTCATACCTTTCAACTTTCCTACTTTTAAATTATTTATGTATTACGCTTTCATTAACCTGATTTAATTTTATGCGCAGTTTGTCTGGAGACCATATTTCGGTTTGGGCCATGAACCAAACCCCGAGGATGCAGAAATTTGGAGCGCCAAGACTGCAATCATACGGTTCAATGTTGTGGAGATGCACCACAGCGACCGTGTGAAGATGCAGTTCGGAATGCATCAAGAGATACCCAGTGATTCGACTTGTTTGTTCCCGTGGAATCTCAAAAGGGTCGACGCCCAGTGGGGTCTTACCAACTGGAAAGACTTTGCTCCAGAATGGTGTAAGATGTGGCAGAGGCATCACCGACATGTCTTGCAATTCCCGGTTTTCCTCAATCATGGTAATATGCGACGCACAGATCAGTATTTATCTTGGTACATGTCGGTTAGTAACCCTGAAATGAACGTGTCTCATCCAAGGTATTTGGTTGTCCCACGAACACAATGGGCACAACCCTCGTTTCCCCAACAATAAACCCAACAAACATCAACCTCCCACCAACCCCCCAGAAGAAACCGAAGCACAAACACCCAACCACAGTCGCCACCACAACACAATTACACTCAAATTCCCCACAACCAACCACAATCACCACCTCAGTACCAATACCCCCATATGCGTCACACCCAACCGCAATTCCAATCACAATACCAACACACCCGCATACCCCACACACAATTTTAGTCTTCTGTATATCCCAATATGAGCCCGTCAACATCCATCCTTAGCCATGATCTAGGAATGTCGGAAGATTATGAACCAATCGATCCAACTTACCATCAACCACATTATCACCAAACCACCCAACATCCTCAATACCAAACACCCCAGGATCCATTTCCTTTCTACCCCCCGTACTCAGACGATCAATGCTACAGACCCACCATGAAACCCCATCCACCGCCAACACGACCAAACTTTGAGGGTATGGGTAACCGACTATACCAAAGCGGATCTTCTAGATATGGAGATCTGACTGATTTCATGGATCAGGAACGCATTGACTTCTCTGGGCCATCGACCTTTCCACAGCAGAAAACGCGACGACACCCAGCACGGGAAAGGCGAGGACGGGGATGCGGAACTGGGGGTCATTACCGGGTTCCGGGAGACCACTGATTAATCTATTTTTTTTTAATCTGTATTTTTTATGTAATTCTTATGGGTGTAATCATCTTTTGTAAATAAAAAGTCAATTTTGTTGATCCTATATCGAATACGCAACGCACCGGATTGAAAAAAAAAACGCGAAAATTGCCCTAGAAATGCACTTAGGCGCCATCTCACTTGGCTTAGGGCAAGTCCTAAGCACCTAGGCGCCAAGTGAGATGACGCCTCCCCTTAAATAATAGGTGTAGGCGCCAAGTGAGACGACTCCTCCTTTGAGGAGTCATCTGAAATATAATTATTTGCGTAATTTTTTCCGAAACGTGGTTATTTGTGAAATTTTTTTTAATACCTAGTTATTTAAAAAAAAATTCACAAAACTATCCTTCTAAATATTGTTTGTTATTATTAATTATCATTAATCCATAATGTGATTTAGCCATCATAAAAAATATTTCTTATTTTTTTTATCTCAAACTAATTATTTCTTTGGAATTTTGTGTTCAATTTATTATACTTTTTACTATGATACTCTTTTGATTGATTTTCATTTAGTTAATAAGTTTATTAATTATGATAAATAAGAATACTTTATTAAAAGCACTAATTTCATCATTAGACTCAATACAATTAATTATATTTTAAAAAATATGCACAAATTAAAATTAAATAAGACATTTTTTTATAACATGGTGGAGTAATAACTATAAATATTCCACACAACATTAATTAGAGAATAGACTTGAAATAACTTAACTAATATTGCATTAAAGTAGTAACAAGATACATATTTTAAGACAACTTTATTTTGATAAAGACATATTTATTTCCCTCATTTAAGAAGCCGATGAGAAATTCATCAGACAACTATTTGATTAAGTTTGTATGAAAGAGATTAAAGTAGGAGCCAAATAATCAATCAAATACTTGTTTGTAGCTTCAGTGGGATGAAAACTATCCCAAAATACATATTCCGATGCATTGGTACATGTTCCAACAGAAATTCGATTGCAAAAAATAGCAACTTCTAGCAATCCTGTCCCACAACATGCCCTCCTTGACTCAAAAAATCCTGCAAAATGTATTATCACACATTGAAACCAACAGATTAATAATCTAAGTTGTTAATAAGCCATAAATAAGATAAGTTTATAGGTTTTACATAATTAGATTTCGTACCATAATCAGAAGGTTTGGTGATAAGTTTATAGAGAGATTGGTAGGTATCAAGGATGATGAGTCTAAGCTTTGGAAATTTTTGTAGTAATTTCTCTGAAGTGATATTGAGTTTTTTATTGTAGTCAATAGCAACATCATTTAGTCCTTCAACACATGTGTTGTTGAAAAAACCATATAAAGTGATTAATATAGGCATACAACCTATAGGAGGTAATGTTGACACAGCAATCTTCCTTGCTCCTAGTGCATATAAATCCTGTTAATTCATATTATATACAAATATTATTCACTTTTGTTAAATAGAGAGATGTAGCATAGTAGAATTTGAATAAAATATTATTGTTTTGCATTATTATATTTAGTACAAGGTAATATCAAATTAAAATTAAAAAAACAAATAAAATTAACCTAATATCTTGTTGAGGCCAAATTTTGTTTGTTTGAAAAATAGTAAATTTGATAGTGTTTTATAAATAAAGTGGTTAGTTAAAAAAATCTTAAGAGAGATGTACCTGGATGAAATTAAAGTAGTTTTGCAAAAGAATGTCTGAAAATTGATAAGGTGTGTAAATTGTTTGGAGAACTGGACTTGTGTAATAATTTAGGGCAAAATCAGCAGACCCACTAATAACAAAATATATTGAACCATATATAATTGATAGTGCAGTTGATTGTCCAGCTATTTTCACCAATTCTTTTTGGTAATCCTTGTAGTAGTTTAGTTGTTGGCTTAATGTAAGTACTTGCTACACCAAAAAACATACACAAAAAAGTATATCAAATATTATCTCATATAATATAAAGTAAAGAAAAAAAGAGAGAGACTTTATGTTTTTACATATTTTTTCGCTGTGAACTCATAGTAACCAGATCCAGCCGAGCCAAAGTTGACACCGTTCAAAAGATTGTTTCCTTTAGTAGTTAGACTAAGGTAAGCCGGTTGGTATGAGGGAAATCCAAATAATTCAGCTACAATGAATAAATATATATATCAAATTATAATATGAGAATAAATAGTGATTTACATGCATACGTAATAATTTTTAAAATGTATGTAATTAATTAAATACTGAGAAGAAAAAGAAATTACATGTATAATCTGAGACAACCTTTCCATTAGAAAATCTTCCAGTTGGAGAGTGACTTACAAAGTCTCTTCCATAAGGAAAGAAATTTGCTTTAGCCACGGTTGCTAAATAGTTGTTATTTCCAACATCAACAATTGAGTCTCCAAATGCAAATAATGCTGGAACTAGAGGTTCTCCTTTGATGACATCAACCACCAACACAATTTCAAGATGAATAACGAGAGTTAAAAAGAGAATTAAGGATGCCATATTTAAATTGTTTCTTTGCATACATTTGAAGTTCATGCATGCAACGATGCCTTTATATAGTAGTCGTCCTTCAACTATAATATAACATTGTAAGCTTTAATGTTATATGATCATTAAACATGACAACAACTTCAAAACAATATATATTTGTTTTTCCAATAAAATCTTGAAAATAACCTCGGCAAATTTGTGACAACATCATGATTTTCTCTCTCTATTGTTTAACTACTTTTTAATTATATATACTTGGATAATATTTATAAATCAAAATTTATAAATCAAAATTATATTTTGATGTTAAAAAATGACACTACACAATAATTACATAATGAAATATTAAAACTTAGTTAATATAGTTTAAAGTTTGGTTAATATATATTATAACATAAAAAAATTAATATATAGAGTTCAGATTTGAGTTAATATTGAATATAAAATTGGTTAATACAGTTCATAACTTGGTTAATGAGTTCTCTAATATTAAAACAACTATTAAATAATAAAATAAAGTTGATTAATAGAGTACAAAATTTGATTAATACATTATAATTAGTGTCAGAACATGATTAATAATATTAATTTATTGATTAATGAAATATTGAAAGTAGTTGATAAATTATAAGTAAAATAATTGGTTAATGATATACGTTTTTATGGTCAATACAATTATAAAGTTGATTAGTGACACAACTTTATGTTTGAAATATAAAATAAAATTTAAAAATAATTTTTATAATTTAAAAAAAGAAATTATTTTAATAAAAAAATATTGTTCACTATTTATATATAAATAGTGTAAACAATATATATGAAGTAGGTATTTGGTGTAACAAATGGTGTGACATAGCAATCATATTTACAAAGGACAATGCTGTGCAATTAATTGGTGTCCAATTATCAATTATGTAAACATTACACAATGAATCACAAACAATATACAATGTTTCAATCATTTCATTTTCACCTACAATGTATGACAAGCAAATCACACAATTCATATATCAAAAACTTTCATTCTTAATTTGTGTGTCACAATATTTCCAATCCACACACACATATATATATATATATATATATATATATATATATATATATATATATATATATATATATATATATATATATATATATATATATATATATATATATATATATATATATATATATATATATATATATATATATATATATATATATATATATATATATATATATATATATATATATATATATATATATATATATATATATATATATATATATATATATATATATATATATATATATATATATATATATATATATATATATATATATATATATAAACTTAGATAAGATAGTAATCAATCAATAATTCATTAGAATTCTATCACAAATAAATACATTGATCAACCAAAATAAATAGAAATTTTGTGACTGCAAATAATATCAAAAAAAATTGTAAATCAAAATCAAAAGTAAAAAATGAGAATTTTTTTTATTAATAACCAAGTATTAAAATAATATTTCCCAAATAACCGGGTTTCGGAAAAAATTACGCAAATAACCATGTTTGAGATGGCTCCACAAAGGAGGAGCCATCTCATTTGGCGCATGCTCCTCTTTTTTTAAGGGAGGCGCCATCTCACTTGGCGCCTAACTGCTTAGGGCAAGCCCTAAGCCAAGTGAGATGGCGTCTATGTAGAAAATTAGGTCAAAAAAAAATTTTTTTTTCTTTCCTGCGCGTTGCGTATTAGACAGAGATAAACAAAATGGATTTTTTATTTAAAAAAAATAATTACATTCAACTGTTTTACATTTAAAGAACAGTAAAAAAATGTATACAAAAAATACTGGGAAAAAAAAAGATACATCAGTGATCCCCAGGAACCCGGTAATGACCCCCAGTTCCGCATCCCCGTCCTCGCCTTTCTCTTGCTGGGTGCCGTCTCGTTTCCTGCTGCGGCAAGGTCGATGGCCCAGCGAAGTCAATGCGATCCGAATCCATAAAATCAGTAAGATCTCCATATCTCGAAGATCCGCTCTGGTACAGTCGGTTACCCATACCCTCGAAGTTTGGTCGTGTTGGCGGTGGGTGGGGTTCCATGGTTGGTCGGTAGCATTGGTCGTCTGAGTATGGGGGGTAGAAAGGAAATTGATCTTGGGGTGTTTGGTATTGTGGATGTTGGGTTGTTTGGTGATATGGTGGTTGATGGTAGGTTTGGTCGGCTTGGTCATAATCTTCTGACATTCCCATATCAGGGCTAAGGCTGGATGTTGAGGGCGCCATATTGGGATATGTGGAAGACTGAAATTGTGTATGGGGTATGTGGGTTTGCTGGTATTGGGGTTGGTATTGTGGTTGGGTTTGAGGCATATCCGGGTATTGGTAGTTTGGCGGTGATTGTGGTTGGTAGTACGGCATTTGATTGTAGTTGTGTTGTGGTGGGGAATGTGGTTGTGTGTTTGTTGGTCTGTTTCTTCTTGGGGGTTGGTTTGAGGTTGATGGATTTTGGGTTTGTTGGTGGGGAATCGAGGGTTGTGCCCATTGTGTGCGTGGGTCAACCAAGTACCTCGGATGAGACACGTGCATATCTGGGTTACTAACCGACCTGTACCACGACATATATTGATCAGTGTGTCGCATGTTACCTTGAGTAAGGAAAACCTGGGATTGCAAGATGTAGCGGTGACGCCTTTGCCACATTTTACACCATTCTGGAGCAAAGTCTTTCCAGTTGGTAAGACCCCACTGGGCGTCGACCCTTTTTAGATGCCAGGGGGACAAATCTGTTGGATCACTTGGTATCTCTTGGATCATTCCGAACTGCATCTTCACACGGTCGCTGTGGTGCATCTCCACAGTGTTGAACCGAATGAGTGCAGTCTTTGCAGTCCAAGTTGTTGCATCCTCTGGATTTGGAGAATGGTCCAAACCCAAATATGGTCTCCAGACGAACTGCGATAAAATTTAAATCAGGTAAGCGCAAAAGTAATGTATAAATAATTAAAATGAACAAAAGTTAAAAGCTACGACGTACGTCATCTGGGCCTAAGTGATCCAACAGATTCCGGTAGAGTGCGACATTGAATCTGGGATTCTTGCCGTAATCCATACCCCTCACGCAGTACCTAAAGGAAATGAGAAACATGTCATTTTTAGCATATATATTGGAAAGAGAAGAATAGTTATAAATGCTATAACTTAATGACTTACTTTGTTGCGTAAGGGAAACCAAAAGTGTTGTTGTTGATGGGGTTTAAGGACTCCATCCTCCACCAACCCCAGGCTTATAGTAAAAATGCGCACCCATAAAATGTACATTTTTCCTTGACTGCGTTTTTGCACAAGGAACTGTACAGGTGGGCTAATACTGCAGAACCCCAACTATATTTTCTAGTTTTATCAAAATTTGTTAGTAAATGTAAGTACATGAAATTTACACTATTTCCCGTACTTTCGGAAAATAAAAATGTACCAAAAAGTATCATAATATACGTTCTGGCTTTTACTACTCGGTCATTCTCTGAGGAATTTTCATTTAATTCCATACTAGCATAATGCCGTTTCAGGTCAGTGAGTAGTATTCCTTGCCCTCTTGCTCCACCACCTTCTACCATGTCCCTACCCAACAGTTCTTCACACTGTGAGTTGGGTTGTTGAACCGACCCGTTCACCGCCTTACCGTCGATAGGGAGGCCCAGTAGCATGTACACATCTTCGAGAGTGATGGTACATTCACCTATTGGTAGGTGAAATGTATGGGTCTCCGGTCTCCACCTCTCCAACATTGCAAGAATGAACTTTGAGTCAATGGTGCAGTTGGAGATCTTTATCACGTGTCCAAAACCTGCATATTCCAGATAAGGGACGATTAATGGGTCGGGAGCCAGGTATTTGTGCGAACGGATTCTGAATCTTTGTGTATCCTGAGATCATAATTAAACAAGACTAAGATTAATTAAGATGAACAGCACGTTATTTGAAGTATGAAAAATGTATAACCAAAGAAGAGACTTACAAATGCAGCAATGTTTTCCCTTGTGCCTCTGTGAGTATCTCCCATTGTTAGAAGAGCCATTGTTCAGAATGCTTGAGAGAATGAAAGACTTAGGAAGAAATAGAGAGTATGATAGACTTAAGAAATATTTCGTAGCAGAGAGTAAGAGTTGTGTGGGTGTGAGAGAGGTTTCATAAGGTATGTATTTATAGGCAAATAAGTTTGATGTAGTGGTTGCATGCCTGCGATGTGTCACATTTGCATGCTTAGGGTGTTACACATATGCATGCATGCATTTACAAAAAATGTAAGGTGTCACTCTTGCAGGCTAGGTGGCAGCCCATGCATGTATCACGATTGGACAGTAAGGGAGGCGCCATCTCACTTGGCGAAAGAGTACAAAAATGAATGGTGTCGCCACCCCATTTGGCGAATAAGAGGTGTCACTTTTTACATGCATTGGCTCAGGCTACGTGACAGCCTTTGGGATTCCTTTCTTTGTTGCATGCAAGGCCATTGGAGTTGATGGGTGGAGTCTTACACAAAACATTTATGTGTGCAGAATAGGGCCAGGCTAGGTGGCAGGCTAAGCCCATGCATGTATCACGATTGGACAGTAAGGGAGGCGCCATCTCACTTGGCGAAAGAGTACAAAAATGAATGGTGTCGCCACCCCATTTGGCGAATAAGAGGTGTCACTTTTTACATGCATTGGCTCAGGCTACGTGACAGCCTTTGGGATTCCTTTCTTTGTTGCATGCAAGGCCATTGGAGTTGATGGGTGGAGTCTTACACAAAACATTTATGTGTGCAGAATAGGGCCAGTCTAGGTGGCAGCCTAAGCCCATGCATGTATCACGATTGGACAGTAAGGGAGGCGCCATCTCACTTGGCGAAAGAGTACAAAAATGAATGGTGTCGCCACCCCATTTGGCGAATAAGAGGTGTCACTTTTTACATGCATTGGCTCAGGCTACGTGACAGCCTTTGGGATTCCTTTCTTTGTTGCATGCAAGGCCA